CTTTATCCGCGGCAATGTAACCACCATTGGCGCCAAAGGATTTGGTCATGCGTTCCCATGAGGATATCGACATCTTTCGTATCTACGCCAAAATAATCGCAGACGCCTCTTCCTCTAGGCCCGATGGCACCTATCGAGTGGGCTTCGTCGACGAAAATGTTGAACTTATATTTCTTCTTCAAGGCAAGTATGCCGGGAAGATTGCACATGGTCCCCTCCATAGAATACAGCCCTTCAACAACGACCAGGATCTTCTTCCAGGGGCGGTGAGTTCGCGGCTGGCCTTGGGAAATCACCTCCCGTAATTTCTTCTCTAGGGCCTTGACATCGTTATGTTTGAAGATCTCGATCGAAGCACCTGACAAACGGGCACCAAAACGGATTGACGCGTGATTCAATTCGTCGGAAATGATCAGACAGCCCTTCGAAACCAAAGCAGAAAACACGCTAGCATTGGTTCCGAAGCCCATGGAAAACACCATGGAAGCTTCCTTCCCGACAAAGTTGGCTACGAGGGCCTCCACTTCAATATGGAGGTCCTGGGTACCTGCATCAGCCCTGGTGGAGACGGAGCTGATCCCGTATCGTTTAATAATGTCCTCGACGGCATCAGCGCAGGGACCCTCCGACTGTGCGAAGCCAAGATAGTTATATGAGCTCATATTCAAGGTGTCGGTGTAAGTCCCGGTCAGGCGAAAATGACGATTGTGGTCATCACTCGTCCGATCGATTAAGGTAATATATCGGCCGGGGACCCCGGTCACGGGCCTCTCAAAACAATCATTAATACGTAATTTGAGCCTGCGGACGTAGAAGTTGTCGAAATCGCTGTTCAACGCGCCATATCCGTTCTTAGGTTTGAGATGCGTATAGTTTTCTTCTCTGAATCGTTTTCCAAAGAAATCACGCACGTGCCCGAAAGCGATTAGGATCAGGTAACTGATGTAGGTCGTAAGCAGGTAGTAGTATGGCGGCTCGTCCATGATAGGTTCGGGGAATTCACCCCCTTGGTGCTTCGAGGTATATCGATGACTAGGATGCCCGAGTGGCCCGAACTGAGCATGTTGTCTGGCCAGACGACGTGTTTCCCCCGGCGAAGCGGGTTGAAACAGAGTGGTTGGAGGCACATCCATGTTGGCGCTGTCCGCAGTCGCCGTGGAAAGCGAGATGGTCGGTAGGGACAGCGACGGCGAACTAATATGAGGAGTGCTTAGATGGCTGATAGAGCCCCCGCGTGCGGCAATCAGGGCGGCCTGAGCAGCGGTGTGGGTGTCTGATCTGGTCTTTGGCGAAGTAGAAAACAGTTGGCTCAATCGCTTAGGTTTCACGGAGGAAGAGTGGGCCTGATTACTAGGAATGCCGCCCTTTTCGTTCGCGGACGAAAAGGACGGCGGGTACGAAGAAGGGGAGCTGTTGGTGGTGAAAAGGTTGTTAGGTCGACGAGGCATCTCAAGACGGAACGACTGAACGAGCCGGGGGGTTGGAGCCCGGCGTTGATTTAGGATTTAGGACGTAGCAAAGCGAGCGGCGCGGGTAGGGCAGCGCACATAAGACCACACCGCGGTGCACTCTGTTTTCACAACCGGCCTGAGGCTGGGCGGAGGTGGAGCCGAAAGGGCGAGCGGGAAGCGGGAAACGGGAAGTGGGAAGTAGCACAGAAGGACGAGGCAGGAACAAAATCCGCCTATCTGCAGGTTACAGCCGCCAACGTCAACGGCTCACGCAGTCAGCAACCACACAGAACACAGGAGGCAATTGATGAACAGAGAGGATATATGAGTAAAGTAGGTCAAGAGAGATCAAACAACAGTGAATAAAGCAGCAGAGCAAGGCAACGGCACGAGGATAGGGCAATGATAATATAGGGGGGGGGGGGGGGGAGTAAGGAACGTGCAGTGGTCCCTAAATCCCCCAGGAGCCGGAAAAACGAGCAAGAGGGATAGGAAAAAACTCTATGGGCGCAATCCAAGCCTAAACGCCCCCAAAAAGCATCTCGATGAAACACTTGGGGGGAGGATACCGGGGGATTGAAATGCAGGGGCTGGCTTTCTCTCTGGCTTGGCTGGCAAAAGAGGAAAAAAAAAGGAGCCGCAACGAGCACCAAAAAAAAAGTTCTTGTCCTGTCAGAACCCACGGGACGGCGGTATTGATACCGTGTGACCGATGTACAGTACAGGGCACAACCATACAGAACGGGACGCTAGGGGACTCGCAATACGGACGGGCAATACGGACGGGCAATACGGACGGGGGACCAGCACCGACATTACCCCGAACTCCAACGCGTACCGTACCGTACCGTACCGTGGTCTGCTGCCAGGCACCGGCTGCAGTGGCCGCATATCAAGCAGGTCCCAGCAGCTTCAGACAGTTCTCTCCGCAGGGAGCACAAGAGATGGGGATGCCATTGGGGAGGGAAACCAGCAAACACAGAGTAACCAACTTCAAACGATACCTGGCCAGCAGTGGACCCGGTTCGAGGGGCCCTGTTTGCTTTCTCCAGCTTTGATTTGTTGGAGCAGGCCATATTCAGGGGCAGCTCGCTGATCGACAAAGCAGCTCAGCGTCAGATGTGGCCTCGATCAGACACTATTTATTCTACAGAGATTATCCTCCCCTTCAAACGTAGAGCCATGGGGAAACACCAATGCGATTTCTCCTGTCGTTGGTTCGTTTATCCTGCCAGAGGAAATATCGCTACGAAAAGATAAATTAATTTCTCAGTATTTTTTAATTGAATTGCTGTTGTTTCCTTGAGGGTAACGTAAAAGTCATGTGATATCAAATCCAAGTGGACCTTTCCATCCGTCCATCGCAGGACAAATGGACGCCCTCGAGTCCGGGCAATGCCAGCACTATTGATCTCTTTATTCTATCATGTCCCTCCCCATTGCATGCCCGCTTTGACTCCTGTGACTGCTAGCTGCCCGATGATGCCAAGCGGAAGATCAGCCATTTGAGTGTCATTCATCCGATCTTCATCCTATACCTCGACGAATTTTTGGAAGCGGGGTATATATATCCCCATTGTGTAACCCCTCTTAAGGCCAAAGCGAAAGCCTGTACCGGATATCTCCTTTCTCTGGTTCTCGAGAATAACCCAAGATGTTATATACATACCAAGCGGGAA